ACACTCACATTAACACACACACATTAACACACACACATTAACACACACACATTAACACACTCACATTAACACACACACATTAACACACACACATTAACACACACACATTAACACACACACATTAACACACTCACATTAACACACACACACATTAACACACACACATTAACACACACACATTAACACACACACATTAACACACACTAGCACATACACAGCTCTTTAAGTGCAATGCACCCTGGAACATGCGTCCACTCCCAGCCCAGAATGTGCTCATGCAAGCCTGACTCACAAGGACAATTTATCAAACATAAATTGCTGTATCATCAGAAATTCTTCGATAACCTTTAGGCTTCTATACGTGTCCTCCTCAAGGTATTCAGAATGTCTGGCACTTTTTGCAGTTTCGTCAAATATAGATTGTATGATGACCTTTTGTTACCAGTGGAAACTTTAAAGATTATAAGATCAATCTGAGACCATTACTGGGAATGCATATATTTATAACCCTAATGTCAAAAGGGAGGCAGGTCATTTAGCATTTGGATGGGGGGGGGGGGGGGGTAGTGAGATTGGTCTCAAGACACTATCATATTTTGCTGACACCCCCATCTATTTTATGTAACATTTTTTTTCACGGCATTGTCAATCTCGGAGAAAATGAGGGGGATTTGTTTTCCAGTTACAACTGCTTATTATTAGCTCAAGGTGGATGACATTCACTGAGTTTGAATATGCGTCAAAAGTTTTCTTCCAGTTGGAAGATTTATATCGTGTAGGACTCCCTGAACGTCTTTATGACTGCCCTGGGGCACACTTGATAAAAATACCTATCCCTGAAGTGTGTGTTGGGTCTGCCAGTATGGCCCCAGAGACACCTGCCTGTACTAATGTCAGGGCAGACTGTCAGGTCATAGCAATGTGGCTGACATCTGTCAGGTCATAGCAGTGCTGAAGAGCATCACTTTCAACAAAGAATCACTTACTTACATCTTAAATCAGTTTTTACTGCTATCAACGCTGTGACCTTCATACGACTGCAAGGTATTGCCATCTTCTCTAACCATGAACTCGTATTGCAATATTTTTTCTGTGTTCCAGTATATTGGTTAAAATAAAATCTAACAAGTTTTGTTATTCTTTGTATCATTTCACTTTAAATCTACACAGAAAATCATTCACGATGATGTTTCCTTTCAAAATTGATAAACAAAAGTGATTTTTCTATCACATTGTAATTGTATCCATGACTACAAAATAACAATGACTGACCAAAAGTAATATTTGCTTTCATATGAAGGAATAGAATCTGCATGTACAATCAGTGTTAATATAATCACTGTCAAACACTTTAGCTCCCAGTATATCGTAAAACATATAGAGAATCTCACCCGACTGTCTTTTGATATCAAATATATCAACACGTGTTGATAAAAGTGGAAAAATTCCGAGGCTTTCCAAGGATTTTTTCCACTTTTATCAGTGAGTGTTGATATATTTGATATCAAAAGAGACAAGGGCGAGATTTTATTTATCATCCAACATCATTCTTCCAACATTTTCAATTTGTAGACAGTAATTAGCAGTGTCTAAAGTGTAAAAAGTACTGCTAACAGCTTCAGTAGCAGAGTCATTAGTGATGTCATTTTATTGTGACGTCATGGTAACCAGTGATGTCACAATGGTCTCCAAAGCATTGTGATGTAATTTCATTGCAGCGATATCTACAGTGTAGATATCGCTTGATCTCATCCAAGCCAGGGGCGGTCGGGTAGCCTAGTGGTTAAAGCGTTAGCTCGTCCCGCCGAAGACCCGGGTTCGATTCCCGACATGGGTACAATTTGTGAAGCCCATTTCTGGTGTCCCCCGCCGTGATATTGCTGGAATATTGCTAAAAGCGGGTTAAACCTCATTCACTCACTCACTCATCCAAGCCATATCTCCTGTGGGAGCCAGTTTTGGATGATAAATCACAATACAGGTACCTGTATCACAATATATTGCAATACACATCTTGGGGCAAGACGCAGACTTAATATTATTATCTCTACAGTGCTAAGAATCAGGCTTTCATTCCACACTTTGTACAAAATAGATATGTTGAAACCTGCTAAGTAATATCACATGAATGTGTGATTCAGTGTTGCACAAGTTCAGTACTGGTCACAGCTGTTAGACTGTCTTGTCACCAACTGTGTGCTCTAATGCATACTCCATTGTGGTGGAGTAGATTGCAACAGAAAATAAATGTTTTTGGAGAACAGATTATGCTCTACATCCTTTATGTACTTTTGAATGCACACATACTCAATTGATTGGCAGCCCTTCAGTCATGTTGCCCATGAGAATAAAACCAGTATAACTACAGTTTAATGACAAAGACGGTATTGGCAGAAATATTGTATTGCAGTATATTGAATACAGGTATCTGCAGTGCGATACTTATTGCGATATATGGGTGCTTCGTCACTTCCATATTTCTGCCATTTTGCCACACAATTCCGTAGGGAAAAGTCAGTTGTGAATTAATTTCTGTGTAGATTTTAGTCTAAATGCTACAAAAAATGACAAAACTTGTTGTTTTTTTACCCAAAGTACTTGAACACAGAAAAAAGACTGCTTATGGTTTAGAAAAGCATATTGCTGTCTACCGGTATTACCATGGAGTCCTGACCAGTGACAATTTACAGTACAATGACAGATTACAGTGAAATTAGAACAAAGCACATGAAGCAGTTGATGTGTTTGTCTAGCTCAGCATCAGCTGTCTGTATTGCTGTGTGTGGAGGGTGTTACCTTGATTTACAAAAGTGGGGGTGAAAAAGTGACCCCCAATAAGTCATTCTAGGGTACTTGCAGGCAATATGAACGTCCTGTAAAATAATGAAATGGTTTAGTGTACTTTATGTTAAGATAATTACTTTCAAGCCTGGAATAATTCAATGATCTTGTGGACAGAGGTCATGCTAGTTGGATGAAATGACAGATACCCATAACTGCTCTTGACGCGCTGTAGATACAATGAATATTATCGTGCGTCCCACGGGACACAGTATGTATATCCTTTTTCCATTCTCTGCATTTGTGCATCACGTAAAACCATGGTGTGTTTAAAGGTTAAGAAATTATGATCCTACAGTCTGAATTGAAATGTTCTAATATTAACTAATAGAGAAGTCATGAGAATCTATTGATTCTACTTATGGATTCAAAAGATTAGTGCACTTTCTTCAACTGAAACCCCTAATCTCGGACGGACGTTAAACCCCATTTCACCTCACCTCACTTCAACTGAAACCATGTTATGATTGATATATAATTTATCTATAATATTGCATAGGTACTTATAGCTGTGTCAGTTTTACTTGTTCAAGATGTACATTCAGAATGGCCAGTGAACTCTTGGCTCGGAGACAAGTGCAACAACACTGGTATGACGTCATTGTAATGGTTAAATGTATCCACAGTCATCTTCCCGAGGCAAGGGAGTTAACTGACTATAAAAGGCTGGAATTCCCAGGCTCGATTGTAGCAACACCAGTGGCTATTATGAGTTATGTCCCTTCTATGTCCCTCCTATTGACCAATAAGATCCATCTCTAATATAACTTGCATTTGCTTCAAACAAATTGTTGGCGCCCAGTGAAGACTATCTGATCGATAATCAAGATGTATATTGTAATAAAACGTGCCTTACCCGCAAAGTGCATCAAATCACTTGAGCACCTTGAACAAAAACATGAAAAGATTTGCAAAATTTCTGTCAACGCCCAGTTGACGATACACATGCTTTGCAAATCCTGAAGTCAAACAAATTCTGCATGTTGAAATCCATGTTTACGAACTGGATGTCATTATGCAATTTTGATTGGACTATGAATAGACTTGTATGTCCAGCCAAAATGTAACTCCAGAATTCCAGCCTAGATTTACTAACGCCCTTGCATCAGGAAGATGATCCACAGTAGACATGGTATAAATGTAATGTTGACCTACACTCTGAAACCTTGTTTCGAAGTCCTGGGACCATCAGTTGTACATCAAGTTAACAGGAGTATGAGACAAACAGTTTGCTGATATTGACAATAGTTCTCATATTGTCTAGTTGAGGCATTCAAGTGAGGAAGGCTTAACTGTACAGTATTCTAACAGTGTAAACTGGGTTTACTCACAGCAGAAATGTCTAGAATGGACGCAGGAAATAAATTGTACATATTAAAGTATAAATAAAGTACATTTTACAGTACTTTGAGCTACACCTTTTCATTACTTTACTGGACCCTCCTATTGGTTTTGGTTTGTTGTTTCATGCCGCACTCAGCAATATTCCACCTATATGGCGGCGGTCTGTAAATAATCGAGTCTGGACCAGACAATCCAGTGATTGATATCATGAGCATCGATCCACGCAATTGGGATCGATGACATGCATCAACAAAGTCAGCGAGCCTGACCACCTGATCCCTTTAGTCGCCTTTTACGACAAGCATAGTCGCCTTTTACGGCAAGCATGGGTTGCTGAAGACCTATTCCACGCCGGATCTTCACGGGTCGACCCTCCTGTCCTGTTGCCTGTATGGACACTTGAAATTGATTATTGGGGCCCCCTAGACACCTTTGATTTGCAGGTCAAGGGAAAACCATGGTGTTAGGTTACACATTTTATATTTTACACTTTCCAGATTACACTAGCCATAGCTGCAGTAAAGTCATTGACTCCATGTTGGCTAGACAAGGCATCCCAAATGTCCTGAAGAATTTCTTTCAGATGTGGTAATAATAATGGAAATAAAATTCATGAAACTGCCCCAATGCCACCTGTTTCTAACAGAATTACTGAAATGAGAAAAGCAAATCAAATTAACATTATATTTGCCTAACCTTTGTTGAGTTGATTAATACAATAAAAAAACCTGTAAACTGAAAATATGCGAAACGAAATATAACAGGTGTGGTATAACTACACGTAGATTGTTTCTACAGTGACTCTAATAACTTACATGCAGAGAACGTCCAAGGTTTGTCCACCCTCCCTTAGTCACTAGGCTGAAACAAGTGGACTTTGGGTAACATGGCTGCTAGCTACAAGCACCACACGAGATACAGACTTTGTAACATGGCCTTATATGTGCCCTGAATAAGCCCTGTGTCTTGCCAGGTTTGTTTGTGAGGATTTATTCCCAGGTGACTTATCATTGAGACAGGTGAGGAGGTCGGGTGTGACAGCCTACTCAATCTTACAACAAATTATGACTTTCCTCAACAACTTGTAAGGAAATCACTTTTTTCGTTGACACAAGTTTGCATGGTCTTAATTTGTAACAGTTTGTAAAATCTGAAGATTTGCAACACTCCAGTCACTGATAGCGAGTGAGTGAGTTGGGAGGTTTTACAGCGATTTTGGCAATTTTCCTGTAATGTGACAGTAGGAGACACCAGAAATGTTCTTCACACACAGTTCCCTTGTGGGGAACTGAACTCTGTCAGTCTTTTTGAGATTTTTCATTCTTGCTTAAGGGCAACAAATTTATGTTTTCCCACTTGCCGGTACTTTATTATAGCAGTCGGGCAAGTCAGGCATAATTATTGAACACCCCAGCCTCAGGACTGTTATGGAGCTGCATTGTTTGATTAAAGGGTGACCTGAGGTATAGGAGTTTAATGCTGCTCTGGTATTTGAAGATAGCACCCTCTAAATCATTTATTTTATTCGAGGTCTATGATGAGTACCCCTTGACATTCATGCTTAGAGACTGATGAAATTTGGGGGTGGGGCTGAGAGTTGAGATGTTGTGTGGAAACTGGATATGGTTTCAGCTACAGCTGCACAACCAGGTACTTTTTTTAAAACTATGAGCCTCAATATGTTCTTTTAAAAACACCTCCATTGTGGTGGAGTAGATTGGAACAGAAAATGTTTTGGGAGAACAGATTATGCTCTACATCCTTTATGTACTTTTGAATGCACACTTACTCAATTGATTGGCAGCCTTTCAGTCATGTTGCCCATGAGAATATAACCAGTATAACTACAGTATAATGACAAAGACTGTATTGGCAGAAATATTGTATTGCAGTATATTGTAATACAGGTATCTGCAGTGCGATACTTATTGCGATATATGGGTGCCTCGTCACTTCCATATTTCTGCCATCTTGCCACACAATTCCGTAGGGAAAAGTCAGTTGTGAATTAATTTCTCTGTAGATTTTACCGTAGTCTTAACGATACAAACAAAAATGAAACTCGTCTTTTATTTACCCCCCAAAAGGACTGTGTATGGTTTAAAAGGCATAATGCAGTGTACAGGTAGCACCATGGAGTCCTGACTAGTGACAGTACAATGACAGATTACAGTGAAATTAGAACAAAGCACATGAAGCAGTTGATGTGTTTGTCTTGCTCATTGCAACGATGTAGTTTTTGTGGCAGACTGTATTGTCCCTTTGTTTCCAGTACAGGGTTATGTTTGCTGTGTGAGGTGTGAGTCAGGTCCACATTGCTGTAATGCTGTGTCAGGTGTGAGTCAGGTCCACATTGCTGTAATACTGTGTCAGGTGTGAGTCAGGTCCACATTGCTGTAATGCTGTGAGGTGTGAGTCAGGTCCACATTGCTGTAATGCTGTGTGAGCTGTGTGTCAGGTCCACATTGTTGTAATGCTGTGAGGTGTGAGTCAGGTCCACATTGCTGTAATGCTGTGTCAGGTGTGAGTCAGGTCCACATTGCTGTAATACTGTGTCAGGTGTGAGTCAGGTCCACATTGCTGTAATACTGTGTCAGGTGTGAGTCAGGTCCACATTGATGTAATGCTGTGTCAGGTGTGAGTCAGGTCCACATTGCTGTAATGCTGTGTGAGCTATGTGTCAGGTCCACATTATTGTAATACTGTGTGAGGTGTGAGTCAGGTCCACATTGCTGTAATGCTGTGTGAGGTGTGAGTCAGGTCCACATTGCTGTAATACTGTGTCAGGTGTGAGTCAGGTCCACATTGCTGTAATACTGTGTCAGGTGTGAGTCAGGTCCACATTGATGTAATGCTGTGTCAGGTGTGAGTCAGGTCCACATTGCTGTAATGCTGTGTGAGGTGTGAGTCACATCCACATTGCTGTAATGCTGTGTGACGTGTGAGTCAGGTCCACATTGCTGTAATGCTGTGTCAGGTGTGAGTCAGGTCCACATTGCTGTAATGCTGTGTGAGGTGTGAGTCACATCCACATTGCTGTAATGCTGTGTCAGGTGTGAGTCAGGTCCACATTGCTGTAATGCTGTGTCAGGTGTGAGTCACATCCACATTGCTGTAATGCTGTGTGACGTGTGAGTCAGGTCCACATTGCTGTAATGCTGTGTGAGGTGTGAGTCAGGTCCACATTGCTGTAATACTGTGTCAGGTGTGAGTCACATCCACATTGCTGTAATGCTGTGTGACGTGTGAGTCAGGTCCACATTGCTGTAATGCTGTGTGAGGTGTGAGTCAGGTCCACATTGCTGTAATGCTGTGTGAGGTGTGAGTCAGGTCCACATTGCTGTAATGCTGTGTGAGGTGTGAGTCAGGTCCACATTGATGTAATGCTGTGAGGTGTGAGTCAGGTCCACATTGCTGTAATGCTGTGTGAGCTATGTGTCAGGTCCACATTATTGTAATACTGTGTGAGGTGTGAGTCAGGTCCACATTGCTGTAATGCTGTGTGAGGTGTGAGTCAGGTCCACATTGCTGTAATGCTGTGTGAGGTGTGAGTCACATCCACATTGCTGTAATGCTGTGTGAGGTGTGAGTCAGGTCCACATTGCTGTAATGCTGTGTCAGGTGTGAGTCAGGTCCACATTGCTGTAATGCTGTGTGAGGTGTGAGTCACATCCACATTGCTGTAATGCTGTGTCAGGTGTGAGTCAGGTCCACATTGCTGTAATGCTGTGTCAGGTGTGAGTCACATCCACATTGCTGTAATGCTGTGTGACGTGTGAGTCAGGTCCACATTGCTGTAATGCTGTGTGAGGTGTGAGTCAGGTCCACATTGCTGTAATACTGTGTCAGGTGTGAGTCACATCCACATTGCTGTAATGCTGTGTGACGTGTGAGTCAGGTCCACATTGCTGTAATGCTGTGTGAGGTGTGAGTCAGGTCCACATTGCTGTAATGCTGTGTGAGGTGTGAGTCAGGTCCACATTGCTGTAATGCTGTGTGAGGTGTGAGTCAGGTCCACATTGCTGTAATGCTGTGTGAGATGTGAGTCAGGTCCACATTGCTGTAATGCTGTGTGAGGTGTGAGTTAGGTCCACATTGTTGTAATGCTGTGTCAGGTGTTAGTCACATCCACATTGCTGTAATGCTGTGTGACGTGTGAGTCAGGTCCACATTGCTGTAATGCTGTGTCAGGTGTGAGTCAGGTCCACATTGCTGTAATACTGTGTCAGGTGTGAGTCAGGTCCACATTGCTGTAATGCTGTGTCAGGTGTGAGTCACATCCACATTGCTGTAATGCTGTGTGACGTGTGAGTCAGGTCCACATTGCTGTAATGCTGTGTGAGGTGTGAGTCATGTCCACATTGCTGTAATACTGTGTGAGGTGTGAGTCAGGTCCACATTGCTGCAATGCTCTGTGAGGTGTGAGTCAGGTCCACATTGATGTAATACTGTGTCAGGTGTGAGTCAGGTCCACATTGCTGTAATGCTGTGTGAGGTGTGAGTCACATCCACATTGCTGTAATGCTGTGTGAGGTGTGAGTCAGGTCCACATTGCTGTAATGCTGTGTCAGGTGTGAGTCAGGTCCACATTGCTGTAATGCTGTGTGAGGTGTGAGTCACATCCACATTGCTGTAATGCTGTGTCAGGTGTGAGTCAGGTCAACATTGATGTAATGCTGTGTCAGGTGTGAGTCACATCCACATTGCTGTAATGCTGTGTGACGTGTGAGTCAGGTCCACATTGCTGTAATACTGTGTCAGGTGTGAGTCACATCCACATTGCTGTAATGCTGTGTGACGTGTGAGTCAGGTCCACATTGCTGTAATGCTGTGTGAGGTGTGAGTCAGGTCCACATTGCTGTAATTCTGTGTCAGGTGTGAGTCACATCCACATTGCTGTAATGCTGTGTGACGTGTGAGTCAGGTCCACATTGCTGTAATGCTGTGTGAGGTGTGAGTCACATCCACATTGCTGTAATGCTGTGTGACGTGTGAGTCAGGTCCACATTGCTGTAATGCTGTGTGAGGTGTGAGTCAGGTCCACATTGCTGTAATGCTCTGTGAGGTGTGAGTCAGGTCCACATTGATGTAATACTGTGTCAGGTGTGAGTCAGGTCCACATTGCTGTAATGCTGTGAGGTGTGAGTCAGGTCCACATTGCTGTAATGCTGTGTGAGCTGTGTGTCAGGTCCACATTATTGTAATGCTGTGTGAGGTGTGAGTCAGGTCCACATTGCTGTAATGCTGTGTGAGGTGTGAGTCAGGTCCACATTGCTGTAATACTGTCTCAGGTGTGAGTCAGGTCCACATTGCTGTAATACTGTGTCAGGTGTGAGTCAGGTCCACATTGCTGTAATGCTGTGTCAGGTGTGAGTCACATCCACATTGCTGTAATGCTGTGTGACGTGTGAGTCAGGTCCACATTGCTGTAATGCTGTGTGAGGTGTGAGTTAGGTCCACATTGTTGTAATGCTGTGTCAGGTGTGAGTCACATCCACATTGCTGTAATGCTGTGTGACGTGTGAGTCAGGTCCACATTGCTGTAATGCTGTGTGAGGTGTGAGTTAGGTCCACATTGTTGTAATGCTGTGTCAGGTGTGAGTCACATCCACATTGCTGTAATGCTGTGTGACGTGTGAGTCAGGTCCACATTGCTGTAATGCTGTGTGAGGTGTGAGTCAGGTCCACATTGCTGTAATGCTGTGTGAGGTGTGAGTCAGGTCCACATTGCTGTAATGCTGTGTGAGGTGTGAGTCAGGTCCACATTGCTGTAATGCTGTGTGAGGTGTGAGTCAGGTCCACATTGCTGTAATGCTGTGTGAGGTGTGAGTTAGGTCCACATTGTTGTAATGCTGTGTCAGGTGTTAGTCACATCCACATTGCTGTAATGCTGTGTGACGTGTGAGTCAGGTCCACATTGCTGTAATGCTGTGTCAGGTGTGAGTCAGGTCCACATTGCTGTAATACTGTGTCAGGTGTGAGTCAGGTCCACATTGCTGTAATGCTGTGTCAGGTGTGAGTCACATCCACATTGCTGTAATGCTGTGTGACGTGTGAGTCAGGTCCACATTGCTGTAATGCTGTGTGAGGTGTGAGTCAGGTCCACATTGCTGTAATACTGTGTGAGGTGTGAGTCAGGTCCACATTGCTGTATTGCTGTGTGAGGTGTGAGTCAGGTCCACATTGCTGCAATGCTCTGTGAGGTGTGAGTCAGGTCCACATTGATGTAATACTGTGTCAGGTGTGAGTCAGGTCCACATTGCTGTAATGCTGTGAGGTGTGTCAGGTCCACATTGCTGTAATGCTGTGTGAGCTGTGTGTCAGGTCCACATTGTTGTAATGCTGTGTGAGGTGTGAGTCAGGTCCACATTGCTGTAATGCTGTGTCAGGTGTGAGTCAGGTCCACATTGCTGTAATACTGTGTCAGGTGTGAGTCAGGTCCACATTGCTGTAATACTGTGTCAGGTGTGAGTCAGGTCCACATTGATGTAATGCTGTGTCAGGTGTGAGTCAGGTCCACATTGCTGTAATGCTGTGTGAGGTGTGAGTCACATCCACATTGCTGTAATGCTGTGTGAGGTGTGAGTCAGGTCCACATTGCTGTAATGCTGTGTCAGGTGTGAGTCAGGTCCACATTGCTGTAATGCTGTGTGAGGTGTGAGTCACATCCACATTGCTGTATTGCTGTGTCAGGTGTGAGTCAGGTCCACATTGATGTAATGCTGTGTCAGGTGTGAGTCACATCCACATTGCTGTAATGCTGTGTGACGTGTGAGTCAGGTCCACATTGCTGTAATGCTGTGTGAGGTGTGAGTTAGGTCCACATTGCTGTAATGCTGTGTCAGGTGTGAGTCACATCCACATTGCTGTAATGCTGTGTGACGTGTGAGTCAGGTCCACATTGCTGTAATGCTGTGTGAGGTGTGAGTCAGGTCCACATTGCTGTAATGCTGTGTGAGGTGTGAGTCAGGTCCACATTGCTGTAATGCTGTGTGAGGTGTGAGTCAGGTCCACATTGCTGTAATGCTCTGTGAGGTGTGAGTCAGGTCCACATTGATGTAATACTGTGTCAGGTGTGAGTCAGGTCCACATTGCTGTAATGCTGTGAGGTGTGAGTCAGGTCCACATTGCTGTAATGCTGTGTGAGCTGTGTGTCAGGTCCACATTATTGTAATGCTGTGTGAGGTGTGAGTCAGGTCCACATTGCTGTAATGCTGTGTGAGGTGTGAGTCAGGTCCACATTGCTGTAATACTGTGTCAGGTGTGAGTCAGGTCCACATTGCTGTAATACTGTGTCAGGTGTGAGTCAGGTCCACATTGCTGTAATGCTGTGTCAGGTGTGAGTCACATCCACATTGCTGTAATGCTGTGTGACGTGTGAGTCAGGTCCACATTGCTGTAATGCTGTGTGAGGTGTGAGTTAGGTCCACATTGTTGTAATGCTGTGTCAGGTGTGAGTCACATCCACATTGCTGTAATGCTGTGTGACGTGTGAGTCAGGTCCACATTGCTGTAATGCTGTGTGAGGTGTGAGTCAGGTCCACATTGCTGTACTGCTGTGTGAGGTGTGAGTCAGGTCCACATTGCTGTAATGCTGTGTGAGGTGTGAGTCAGGTCCCCATTGCTGTAATGCTGTGTGAGGTGTGAGTCAGGTCCACATTGCTGTAATGCTGTGTGAGGTGTGAGTCAGGTCCACATTGCTGTAATACTGTGTCAGGTGTGAGTCAGGTCCACATTGCTGTAATGCTGTGAGGTGTGAGTCAGGTCCACATTGCTGTAATGCTGTGTGAGCTGTGTGTCAGGTCCACATTATTGTAATGCTGTGTGAGGTGTGAGTCAGGTCCACATTGCTGTAATGCTGTGTGAGGTGTGAGTCAGGTCCACATTGCTGTAATACTGTGTCAGGTGTGAGTCAGGTCCACATTGCTGTAATGCTGTGTCAGGTGTGAGTCACATCCACATTGCTGTAATGCTGCGTGACATCTGAGTCAGGTCCACATTGCTGTTATGCTGTGTGAGGTGTGAGTCAGGTCCACATTGCTGTAATACTGTGTGAGGTGTGAGTCAGGTCCACATTGCTGTAATGCTGTGTGAGGTGTGAGTCAGGTCCACATTGCTGTAATGCTCTGTGAGGTGTGAGTCAGGTCCACATTGATGTAATACTGTGTCAGGTGTGAGTCAGGTCCACATTGCTGTAATGCTGTGTCAGGTGTGAGTCACATCCACATTGCTGTAATGCTGCGTGACATCTGAGTCAGGTCCACATTGCTGTTATGCTGTGTGAGGTGTGAGTCAGGTCCACATTGCTGTAATACTGTGTGAGGTGTGAGTCAGGTCCACATTGCTGTAATGCTGTGTGAGGTGTGAGTCAGGTCCACATTGCTGTAATGCTCTGTGAGGTGTGAGTCAGGTCCACATTGATGTAATACTGTGTCAGGTGTGAGTCAGGTCCACATTGCTGTAATGCTGTGAGGTGTGTCAGGTCCACATTGCTGTAATGCTGTGTGAGCTGTGTGTCAGGTCCACATTGTTGTAATGCTGTGTGAGGTGTGAGTCAGGTCCACATTGCTGTAATGCTGTGTCAGGTGTGAGTCAGGTCCACATTGCTGTAATACTGTGTCAGGTGTGAGTCAGGTCCACATTGCTGTAATACTGTGTCAGGTGTGAGTCAGGTCCACATTGATGTAATGCTGTGTCAGGTGTGAGTCAGGTCCACATTGCTGTAATGCTGTGTGAGGTGTGAGTCACATCCACATTGCTGTAATGCTGTGTGAGGTGTGAGTCAGGTCCACATTGCTGTAATGCTGTGTCAGGTGTGAGTCAGGTCCACATTGCTGTAATGCTGTGTGAGGTGTGAGTCACATCCACATTGCTGTAATGCTGTGTCAGGTGTGAGTCAGGTCCACATTGATGTAATGCTGTGTCAGGTGTGAGTCACATCCACATTGCTGTAATGCTGTGTGAGGTGTGAGTCAGGTCCACATTGCTGTAATGCTGTGTGAGGTGTGAGTCAGGTCCACATTGCTGTAATGCTGTGTGAGGTGTGAGTCAGGTCCACATTGCTGTAATGCTGTGTGAGGTGTGAGTCAGGTCCACATTGCTGTAATGCTCTGTGAGGTGTGAGTCAGGTCCACATTGATGTAATACTGTGTCAGGTGTGAGTCAGGTCCACATTGCTGTAATGCTGTGAGGTGTGAGTCAGGTCCACATTGCTGTAATGCTGTGTGAGCTGTGTGTCAGGTCCACATTATTGTAATGCTGTGTGAGGTGTGAGTTAGGTCCACATTGCTGTAATGCTGTGTGAGGTGTGAGTCAGGTCCACATTGCTGTAATACTGTGTCAGGTGTGAGTCAGGTCCACATTGCTGTAATACTGTGTCAGGTGTGAGTCAGGTCCACATTGCTGTAATGCTGTGTCAGGTGTGAGTCACATCCACATTGCTGTAATGCTGTGTGACGTGTGAGTCAGGTCCACATTGCTGTAATGCTGTGTGAGGTGTGAGTCACGTCCACATTGTTGTAATGCTGTGTCAGGTGTGAGTCACATCCACATTGCTGTAATGCTGTGTGACGTGTGAGTCAGGTCCACATTGCTGTAATGCTGTGTGAGGTGTGAGTTAGGTCCACATTGTTGTAATGCTGTGTCAGGTGTGAGTCACATCCACATTGCTGTAATGCTGTGTGACGTGTGAGTCAGGTCCACATTGCTGTAATGCTGTGTGAGGTGTGAGTCAGGTCCACATTGCTGTAATGCTGTGTGAGGTGTGAGTCAGGTCCACATTGCTGTAATGCTGTGTGAGGTGTGAGTCAGGTCCACATTGCTGTAATGCTGTGTGAGGTGTGAGTCAGGTCCACATTGCTGTAATGCTGTGTGAGGTGTGAGTCAGGTCCACATTGCTGTAATACTGTGTCAGGTGTGAGTCAGGTCCACATTGCTGTAATGCTGTGAGGTGTGAGTCAGGTCCACATTGCTGTAATGCTGTGTGAGCTGTGTGTCAGGTCCACATTATTGTAATGCTGTGTGAGGTGTGAGTCAGGTCCACATTGCTGTAATGCTGTGTGAGGTGTGAGTCAGGTCCACATTGCTGTAATACTGTGTCAGGTGTGAGTCAGGTCCACATTGCTGTAATACTGTGTCAGGTGTGAGTCAGGTCCACATTGCTGTAATGCTGTGTCAGGTGTGAGTCACATCCACATTGCTGTAATGCTGTGTGACGTGTGAGTCAGGTCCACATTGCTGTAATGCTGTGTGAGGTGTGAGTTAGGTCCACATTGTTGTAATGCTGTGTCAGGTGTGAGTCGCATCCACATTGTTGTAATGCTGTGTGACGTGTGAGTCAGGTCCACATTGCTGTAATGCTGTGTGAGGTGTGAGTCAGGTCCACATTGCTGTAATGCTGTGTGAGGTGTGAGTCAGGTCCACATTGCTGTAATGCTGTGTGAGGTGTGAGTCAGGTCCCCATTGCTGTAATGCTGTGTGAGGTGTGAGTCAGGTCCCATTGCTGTAATGCTGTGTGAGGTGTGAGTCACATCCACATTGCTGTAATGCTGTGTGAGGTGTGAGTCACATCCACATTGCTGTAATGCTGTGTGAAGTGTGAGTCAGGTCCACATCGTTGTAATGCCCTGTTTGCTTTCTCTGCAGGATGAGAAGGAGAACATGTACTACCCAGCCGACACTCTCCATGAACAGAACTTCTCCTACCTGGTGGTGGACCCACTCAAGAGACACGTCACAGTTCTCTTCCACAAGTTCGGCAGCAGCATCTACTGAGGCACTGGACGTGGACATACCCCGATCAAGGACTGGACACAACACCACTTCAGTACAAAGCCATCTACACAACCAGATTAGGCCACACTGTTAAAATAGGTGTCAGTCTTTTGAAATGAACCTGACTTCTCTTCCTTGTAACAAACTTTCTAACCCATGCTTATCGTAAGAGGTGATTAACAGCATCGGGTGGTCAGGCTCGCTGACTTCGTTGATGAATGTCATTGTGTCACAATTGCAGAGATCGATGGTTATGATGTCAATCACTGGATTGTCTGGTCCAGATTCAATTATTTACAGACCGCCACCATAAAGCAGGAATATTGTGATGATACGATACGTATGCCCATACCCTGCTCACGATATGATACCTATCTCAATGCCCAAGAAGCACAAAATATGTATAAAAAATGAAAACACACATGACTTACATGAGAGTCAATGGTACTAGCAATGTTGAAGCCTGTTCTATCACTTGTAGGACATCAAGTTTATAAACAGCACACACCTCGTGTAGCAGCATACGGTTGTTCTTTTGTTACTTATGTAAAAATGTGTATTTAGTACTGTTCCGTATCACAATACAGACTCAAATGTATGGAACGAGGGCCAAGATTTGCGTTGTATCGTATCACCCTTATTTAACACTAACAAATGTGTATGCATATGGTATGGTGATGAGAGGTTGTGTGTTGTACTGATGAAATGTTTCATTATTTATTAACCAAATAATCCATGTTCTGTTTGCAGTGTAGTCTGAATTGTGTCTCATCTCTTTACCTTCATTGTGCCATATTTGGTGTATGAAATATTGTCAGAAATAGAAAGAAGATCATACAGTGGAATCGGTCCAAATTCTGATTTCGGTGAACTACATACCTTTTCGCTGGTCTCCTCATTTCCCTAATAAATTATCATTACTCAAACTGACCTACAGCTCATTCAGACCTTGTACACTTTTACACTGTATTTGGTTGCTCTAAAAATATTTTGATTTAATTTTATGTAGGGAAGTGAATCACAAATCATCTGTGTTGTGGTGATGTCTCAGACACACAGTGAGTGACCACACAGTTAACATTCAGGACAATATTAAACCAGAAATAATAACCAAAATGATGTCATATCCAGTGTGAAGATGTGGCAAGCATGCTAAAGTGCCAATTTCCTTCTATGGCCTTGTTAATGTGTGCAGCAATGATGATTTTATTACAGCCACAATTTTTCGATTTTAACAGCAGCCATTTTGATGAAATATATATGACCACTCACTGTGTTTGCACTGCATGATTTAAGTATTTAGTGGTTTGCCAAACTATAAAGTCAGATGACTCAGCGTTACCGTTTTCAGCTCTGCACGACTCTGAGACAGTGTTGTATTTTGCATGCATTATTAAAGTGGATGTGTGTTTGGGCAAGACAAACACATGAGCGTCAGATAATCAATTATTGCAATATATTACTGCTGACAAGTGAGTCAACATGCTGTATCACTTCATGTTCAGATATCACTCAAGATTTGTTACACTTTTGGTTTATACATGTGGAACATTTGCAGTCAATGCAGTTCCTTCCATATTAGGGTGTGGCCATTTAATGGGGGGGGGGGGGGGGGGGGCAGTGGGATTAGGCATCATATTTTGCCGACCCTACACCCATTTTATGTAACATATTTTTTATGACCCAACCCCCTACCTATCATAAATGACACAGTCCCTAAATAATGTTCAAATTTATAATTTTGTTTTCATCTATAAACATTGAACCAAACCATTTTTTTACACCCTTTGCTGTTAGCCCTCCCCAATTGTATTTCTGACTGCAATATTTCCCTGATGACAGCATTTCAAACTTCTACATGTAAAGTGTTTGTATTGAATCTGATATAATTCCTTCCATCTAGTCAGAGGGGTTATGGTGTTGCTCTGTGGCGTGTTGAACGCCGGGGTTTTGAGTCCCCAAATGAGTACTTTATTGCTGACTAGGGACTTCTGGGATCGCTGATCCAGCTCTTCACACTCTGTAGAGTATAGCTGAGATATTGCCGACCAAGCTCGTCATGGCAGGGCCCAGTTTGCAAAAGCCTTGCAATTTGCTGTACAGAGTTGTGACCCTTGGTCATCCCAGAATCCAGTGACAATGAGTTTTGAGTTCCAGATTAGCACTGATCATGTTTCTATGTTTGTCAGTGATTTGCACGCACTCATGGCTTTCACCAAACACACATTTCTTTCTATTTCTGACAATGCAGTTGTGACTGTTGATTGTAGTCCATCGCAGCTGTTCCCTCACATGTTTTGTTTGTTCCGATAATGCATGATGGTTGCAGCAAATTTTAGGATCGACATAAGTTCATCCTGTTATGTATATTTTTCTAATAAAACACTTAATATGAAATACCCATTGATTTTTTTATCACTACTAGGCCTGATCCAAATTGCAACATTGTTGAGATATTGCTCATTAATATTGCTGAATATGCAGCACTATGCTAATCAAGCTCTTCACAGTCTGTAGAGTAGCTGAGATACTGCTGACTAGGTCCTTACAACCCATTGAAGCAGCTGAGATATTGCTAAGGTCTTCACAACCCCTTAACCTTAAAAAAGCTGGGATACTGCTGGCTAAGGTCTTTACAACCCATTGAAGCAGCTGAGATATTGCTAAGGTCTTCACAACCCCTTAACCTTAAAAAAGCTGGGGTACTGCTGGCTAAGGTCTTTACAACCCATTGAAGCAGCTGAGATATTGCTAAGGTCTTCACAACCCCTTAACCTTAAAAAAGCTGGGGTACTGCTGGCTAAGGTCTTTACAACCCATTGAAGCAGCTGTGATATTGCTAAGGTCTTCACAACCCCTTAACCTTAAAAAAGCTGGGATACTGCTGGCTAAGGTCTTTACAACCCATTGAAGCAGCTGTGATATTGCTAAGGTCTTTACAACCCCTTAACCTTAAAGAAGCTGAGATACTGCTGGCTAAGGTCTTTACAACCCATTGAAGCAGCTGAGATATTGCTAAGGGCTTCACAACCCCTTAACCTTAAAAAAGCTGGGATACTGCTGGCTAAGGTCTTTACAACTCATTGAAGCAGCTGTGATATTGCTGACTAGGGTCTTTTCAACCTTTCAAAGCAGCTGAGACACTGCTAAGGCCTTTACAACCCTTGAAAGCTTCTGAGATCCTGCTGACTGAGGTCTTTACAACCCTTCTTAGGAGCTGATATACTGCTGACTAAGGTCTTTACAACCCTTTAAAGCAGCTTAGATACTGGTGACTACAGTCTTTAAAACCCTTCTTAGGAGCTGAGATACTGCTGACTAAGGGCTTTACAACCCTTTAAAGCAGCTTAGATACTGGTGACTACAGTCTTTAAAACCCTTCTTAGGAGCTGAGATACTGCTGACTAGGGTCTTTACAACCCTTCTTAGGAGCTGAGATACTGCTGACTAAGGGCTTTACAACCATTCAAAGCAGCTCAGATACTGCTGACTAAGGTCTTTACAACCCTTTAAAGCAGCTGAGATATTGCTGACTAAGGTCTTCACAACCAATTAACGCAGCTCAGATACTGCTGACTAAGGTCTTTACAACCCTTCAAAGCAGCTGAGATACTGCCAACTAAGGTCTTTTCAACCCTTGAAAGCAACCGAGATACTGCTGACCAAGATCTTTACAAACCTATAAAGCAGCTGCGATACTCCTGACTAAGGTCTTTACAACCGCTGAAAGCAACTGAGATCCTGCTGACTAAGGTCTTTACAACCCTTTAAAACAGCTAAGGGACTCCTGACTAAGGTCTTTACAACCCCATAAAGCACCTGCGATACTCCTAAGGTCTTTACAACCATTGAAAGCCACTGAGATACTGATAAGTTCCCTACAGCCCTGTAAGCAGCTGACATATTGCATGTCACTGCAAAGTAGCTAAATACATGTTTTGTTTGTTTGTTTGTTGCTTAACGCCGCGCTCAGGAATATTGCAGCTATGTGGCGGCGGTCTGCAATTAAGCCAGTCTGGACCAGACAAACCAGGGAATTGACATCATGAGCATCGATTCACGCAATTGGGATACGATGACCTGCATCAACGAAGTCAGCGAACCTGACCACCCGATCCCGTTAGTCTCCTCTTACGACAAGCATAGTCGTCTTTTACGGCAAGCATGGGTTGCTGAAGACCTGTTCTACCCCGGATCTTTACGGGTGGAATAAACCCTTAAGGGCCCAAGGTGTTTAGATCCATGGGGTTTTAGAATCATTGTGCTTGGTTTAATTACCGTTTTCGGTAAGCATGGGTAGCTAAAGACCTACTCATCCCCGGGCCTTCACGGGTCCTAAATACATCTACTATCCACTGAGGTCCATATTTCCCTGTAAAACAACTATGATGTTGCAAAGTTCCTCACAGCCTTCTAGAGATCAGATATTGCTGACTACACTGTTTTTTCCCGTAGTTCAGTTAGAAGTTATAATTTATTGTTTATTGAGTTTTCAGCCTATCGTTTTGAAACCTATTTCATAGAATATGCCTTGTCAGTGGGATAAAGCTTAAGGCATCACCATTAGCAGCTTCCCAAGGCAAGGGAGATAATTGACTGTAAAAGTCCGGAAACTTCAGGGTAATGCTATGAAATCTTTGCAGTGGCATAGCTACCACGTAGCAAAAGTGCAAGTGCTTACACTTTGAAATCGTTACAAAGATAAAATAAAATAAATAATTAAATAAAAAACTGCTTTAGTGCGCTCTTTTTTCAGTCGTGCGTTATAGTTACATGAGCTTTTGTTGATTTACATGTTGACCCGCCTACCAGTGTCAAATTTGTTGTTGATGAGTTGGTTCAATGTTGTTGTTTGCTTGTTACATTTCCTTTACGCTTTTCGCGAAAAACCGGTGTCATAACTCATTTTCAGTGGTCCATTGGTCAATGGTCGTCAATGTAATTTTCACCTTTTTTTCCCTTCACGCCAAATGGAATCTGTTTCGGTGGATAATCTAGAGTGGTTATTCTCTTGCATTGACTATTTATATTTTATGAGGATACGTGGGTTTGGTAACAATAATCAAACTGTTTTATACTTAAAATGGGTTATGTCGACCAGAACATGGTAAGGATATGTCGTGATATCTGGGTTTTAGGTTGGTTGGTTGGTTGGTTGGTTGTTTAACGCCGCACTCAGCAATATTCCAGCTATATGGCGGCGGTCTGTAAATAATCGAGTCTGGACCAGACAATCCAGTGATTGACATCATGAGCATCGATCCACGCAATTGGGATCGATGACATGCATTAACCAAGTCAGCGAGCCTGACCACCCGATCCCCTTAGTCGCCTTTTACGACAAGCATAGTCACCTTTTACGGCAAGCATGGGTTGCTGAAGACCTATTCTACCCCGGAATCTTCACGGGTCGGGTTTTAGGTACGTTGTACTGTCCTGCTTGTCTTGGTGTTAGATCAGCGTCATGAGTATTTAAGAATAAGTACTGCAATATGATTGCTAACATTTAAAATTCATCTAGCTACGCCCCTGCTTTGGCCTGTGGTATGGACACTATTCGTGTTACGGCATATATTGTCGCCGGGCACATATTGCCGCTGGCGACAAACCCGTGAAGATTCCGGGGTAGAATAGGTCTTCAGCAACCCATGCTTGCCGTAAAAGGCGACTAACGGGATCGGGTGGTCAAGCTCGCTGACTTGGTTGAGGCATGTCATCGATGCTCATGACATTAATCACTGGATTGTCTGGTCCAGACTCGATTTTTTACAGACCGCCGTCATATAGCTGGAATATTGCTGAGTGCGGCGTTAAACAACAAATCAACAAACCAACCAACTACTTTTTTGTGTTACTAGCACCAATGTTAAGAGTGTTTACAAGAATAATTTCCTATCAATTACAGAACTGAACGAAGTACGGTTATATTTTTCTGCCTAAGATACTAACACTGAAGCCACTGCTGAGGGGAGAAAACATCTGCAAAATATTTGTGCTTCAAGGAATGAGTTTGTGAATATTTTATGACCGTTTCAGTCACTTCTGTCAGCCTTCATGACGAATGGACCCAATAACAAGATTAGAGTGTGGCCATTAAGCTGATGTAACAGCTGAAGCCAACGGTGCAAGTGTCTTGTTATCAATTATGCGGAGTCAGTCATGAAAGTAATGTTTGGCCAGATATTAAAACTGTCCCAGACTGTGCTGACGTGTGACTGAGCTACTGGTGTCACTTGTGTGTCTGGTTTGTTTTCATGCCGCCGTCGCATGGTAGGAAAACTGTTGTGTGATTTGAAAATACAAAATTTGAATCCTACCATAAACCAGATTTTAAAATAAATAGCTCAGTTTCAAAAGTTTACAACCTAAAAATGCGCGAAATTCCCTTTGTCTGTCTACAGGTTGTTTTTCGTTGCATGTTGTGAGTGTGTTAATATGCATCCCCTGCTCTGGCAATGAGGAGGAATATGTGGGTGCATCTATCCTTCCTTCAAGGGGAACTGTCGACCCGTGAAGGTCCGGGGTAGAATAGGTCTTCAGCAACCCATGCTTGCCGTCAGAGGCGACTATGCTTGTCCTTTCGCGACCAACGGGATCAGGTGGTCAGGCTCGCTGACTTGGTTGATGCATGTGATCGTATCCCAAGTGCGTGGATGCTCATGATATCCATCACTGGATTGTCTGGTCCAAATTTGATTATTTACAGACCGCCATGATATAGCGGGAATATTGCTGAGTGCGGCGTGAACAAACAAACAAACAAACAAACAAACAAGCCGAACCAAGAGACACACAAACAAGGATTGTATTGTGACAACGTGTATGCCCCCCCCCCCCCCCCCCCCTTTCACTATGAGCACTAATATATCCCGAATCAACCCGAATCGGAAACTTTCGAAATTCGTGATGATTCGACCAATAATGCAAACTTTCGTAGAGAATCGGTAGGAGGTACCAAGAAGTTAGGGCAAACGTACGACGGAGTTACGAAAACTCGTGGCTAATGGGGTGGAAAAATGTGAAGAATGCCAGGAATGGGTTAAGAAACATGTACGAATTACAAGATTCATGTACGGATCATGCACGAATTGTAAGAATCACCTACGACTAAGTTACGAATATGCCGAATGCATGTACGAAAGCAGGACGATCACAACGAATAATATACGACTAATACGACATATTTACGAATAATTTGCGAAAATCGGTACTTTTCCTGACACTTCGGCATGTTCTTGGGTCCCGAAAGGCTGCCCAACCCATCATTTCCAGCATGGAGGTTCAACGGAGACCACGTGTTGCTCTGGTCCTGGTCCTTGGGGGATCGTGTTGTTCTTACTTAATTCTTACATGATTCGTAGTTGACTCGGGACATTCGTGGCTGTTTCGGGATGTTTTCGGGCTGAGGACATTTTGGGAGCCACGAATCGCTAAGAATAGCCAAGAATGCAAAGGAATCGATTCCGAGGCTGTTACGGAACATAAGAATTAATTACGAATGGATTACGAATTGCAATTCGGCGTCCAAAAACAAAAACTTTCACGTCGATTCGACGAACTCCCGCGAACTGTACGAATTTTTGGGAATCAAATGAGATTCATTTAAGAACTTCAAGAAATGATTCAGTGAGTGAGTATAGTTTTACGCCGCTTTTAGCAATATTCCAGCAATATCACGGCGGGGGACACCAGAAATGGGCTTCACACATTGTACCCATGTCGGGAATCGAACCGTGTCTTCGGCGTGACGAGCGAACGCTTTAACCACTAGGCTACCCGACCGCCCCAAGAAATGATTCAGATTTATCTACGAACATGAAAAATTTCCTATTCGGGGAGATTCGGGATATTCGTAGTCGTAGTAAAATGGGGGCATGACGTGGTTGACTGTGTGTTGTATCTTGACGACGGTGAGGACCCATATACATTCTATTAACAACTGACAGACAATCGCAGACATGAATGTTTAATGGCGTCAATGGTATGGCTTGAATATAATATTACTCATTTAGGCTTTAAACACAGCATTGACGTCCTCATTCTCGTGTCTTCCTCACCGAGTTTTGTTTGCTGTTTACAGTCACACTGAGCAATATCCCTGTTGTATGACGGCGGCTTAAAAATAATCGTGTCTGGACGATACACAATGATTGATGTTATGAGCAACCATTGACGTCGTCGGGGTACGAAATGACACTCAGTCAACCAAGTCCCGAGCCTCACCACCCAACCACTACATCGACTCTTCGACAAGCAGCTGTCCCTGGGGACCAATTCTCACCCAGGATCACCACGAGTGCTGTGATATGGTGAGTGAGTGAGTGAGTATGGTTTTCGCCGCTTTTAGCAATATTCCAGCAATATCACGGCGGGGGACACCAGAAATGGGCTTCACACATTGTACCCATGTCGGGAATCGAACCCGGATCTTCTGCGTGACGAGCGAAGGCTTTAACCACTAGGCTACTCGACGCCCGCTGATATGGTGAAAATAAAACGTCAGGAACAATAGGCATATATCAACGTATTTATTGCAGTGGTTAAAAGAATCATAATTTAAAATAATAATAACAGGGGAAAACATCTACATCAAGGAACATGACATCAAACTAGCTTGTAAAAAAATCAGCAACTCTCCAGTGTTGTAATGTTGCCAAAACCAATGCAGCATATATCCTAGTGACAACGGGTAAGATAAAGCAAGTACATTGATCATATCCTTTGGGTGAAGTCTACACACATTACGGTGGCTGTTTTATGGATCAGGGCCTAGATTTTCGAAACAATCTTAGCTAAGATAAATCTTAACTACTTACGTTCAAAGATAAGATATCCTAATACTAAGATAAGATAGATTTTCGAAACAATCGTAAACCTGTCGCAGATCGCTCAGAGCTACGACACCTATCTGTAGCGGGAGAATAGCTCGAAGTCGTCAAGCGTATCGAGGGGACGAGTTCCGTCTCGGAATATCCTCGGTCTTGTCATCAAATCATTGTCATCTTCATCATGAAAAATGTCCAGAGCAAATTATACCGCCATCTTGGATGAGGATAAAATAAACTTACGACAGGTATAGGGCTATCTTAGATTTACGACAAACTTAAGATATCTTAGGGCTACGATAGTTTCGAAAATAGGCTACGATAGCCTACGATTTCTTTACGATAACTTTACGATAATTTTAGGGCTAAGATCGTTTCGAAAATCTAGGCCCTGGAACTGTTCTCGATGACGTAAAACAAAAGCCTTATACTTCTAAAGTCGGTATTGTGTTTTGGGGAGGAAAAAGATTATAGGAAAGATTAACTATTATGTACGTATATGTACACAAGACAACATTTTGATATGGATTGTATCCAGCTCATCAATATCTGTTGTTACTTCTCTTACAGTGGAACACCGTATTTCCTTCAATAAACAGCATGGTAATTGTACGTGGTGTGAATGTTTACGGGCATTGTTATACACCAGTGCTAATAGGAGACCCAGTGTCTGTATCGTCATCATAGTTACGAGTTTGTTTGCACTAAGTAACGTTCCTCTATCACACGTGAGACCGCATTCGTGGTCGAGTGGTAGAGCATCTGCGGATAGCGGAAGGTCCGGGGTTAGATTCCAGGCCGCTTCATACTAAAAGACGTTACAAGATGGTACTTGTTGTTACTCTACCTCCCGTTCGGCATTAAGGGGCTAAAACAAGGACTCGGAGTCAGTATACTGTGTCTGAGTTGGGTTGTTCATGTTAATCTGTGGCATGGTATCTCAGTAGGCGAGCACTGTCAATCGGCATTAATCCGGACTAGTACAAGCAGCTACACACACACACGTGCATGCACGTCGCTATATAAGTGCAATGATGTTGGACCCGACGTTGAGTACCATTTCATCTCACCTCACCTCACCTCACCTCACCTCACCTGTCACGTACGGCCGGATTGCAGAGTAGTTGCTTTTTTAACATACAGGTCCTTGTTTAACACCCCCCCCCCCCCCCCCCCCCCCCCCCGGGCGTTTATTAGAGGAAATACGGCAAACCACCAGGTCCATTCACTCGACTGGGAAATACAAACAAGAAATGTTAGTCACTTATATTTTGTCAAAGGCTCCAGTTGTTTCTTGTAAGATTCATCGACGGAACACATGCATCGTGCTTATAGTGAAGCTTATGAGCTTACAGGTATACGATATTTTGGAATATATACACCAAATTACAAATTATTCAAATTTGATAGTCATTTAGTGCATACATTTTACCCTGTATGTTATGTCGAGTATTTGCAAGTTACTCTCATGAAATTTCCACTTTTAACAATCATAATGGCATTTATTTTTTCCCAATACATTCCCTGAATATAGACTACTCCATTTTTGATAAGAACAATTTTTATCTTTTAATGATGCACAAAACCGATTCATAAATATGTCAAGTATATGTAAATTGAAAGAAATACTGATTATCACTATCCAAATTTGATTAATATATTTTTAAGGCAATGTAAAATCGGTCTGTGTCGATGTCTGCTTAAATATACATTAAGAGTCATCGTAATCATTCCATGCTTGACTTTTATTGACGATTGATAGAAGTTTCCTGAAGAACACATTCAGAACACACTCGACCAACATCATCCACAGTTCATGAAGAAGTTTGTCTCAGACGGTTAAGTTGGCGTAACGTACAGTGTGAGGAAGATGCGTCCAGAACCGTTGCATTCTTGCTGAAAGATATTAAAAAGAATCCCCAGATTGGTTCAACGTTAAAATACGAACATGGCGTTTCTGATTCCTTCACCGAGTTATGACAAGTAATCGGACTATATAACCGAGATGTTCCGAATGTCTCGGTGAAACTGAAGTAGGCTCCACAGTTCTTATTTCTTGGCTACAATGTCACCATCGAGGTCGATCCCTATGATTTTGTCTTCAGCATCCAGGCTCATTTCTATCGTTCCGATGTCCTTCAGCGGGTCTTTGCCGGCCTTGCAGCCCTCGAGGAAGACGTACTTTGGCTCGTTGTCGTCTTTTTGGATGACGTACTTAAATGTACATTTCGGGTCTTCCTTATGCTGCCTCATCACTCGATACTCTACGAAACCTGCAACAAATGAAGTGGTGAGTGAGTATAGTTTTACGCCACTGTTAGATTCAAGTTTAAGTTCAAGTTCTTTATTTCACCAAAACCGCTCACAGTGGGACACGATACATTCAGTAATTGTATTTATATCACTCCACATTTGCCAAGGGCCATATATGTGACTAAATGTTGCTATTTTGGTCCTCAGAACATGTTGAGTAGTGTATTTATGCAATCTCATTAAAATCAGATCTTAGTTCTCGCTACCGCTGAACAAAGATCTGAGGACATCCCATTAGGGGTCACGTCAGAACGACCTTTCATCCGACCAATCAGAGCGTCGCTTACCAGATCATGAAAGTGACTGTCGGAATGTGATTTCTAATCATGCAGCCTCGAAAACTTTAAAACGGGGTATTCCGAACGATAGTTACGGGCTTAACGACTCAACCTATACAATCTAGACCATATATTAGCCATTCGAGAATGTTCTTTTGTTCAGGTTTCTAATTTTTAAGCGAGAATTTGTCAAAATATGTTTCGAGTAGTCGCCAATTTGAAATTAGTGCCGTAAAACACGAGAAAGCTGCCTTCTTATTGCCTAACGTCGACTTCTTGTCAGAATTCCATTGGTCGGTCAGAGTTTGCGAAAGGTCGGTCTGACGTGACCCGTAATGGGATGTCCTCAGATCTTTGTTTAGCGGCAGCGAGAACTAAGATCTGATTTTAATGAGATTGTGTATTTATGTGGCAGTTTCATAATACAAAATTGGTACTAATGGTACAATGATATGACAGTTGGCAAGTGAGAGCTATTTTAACAGGTCAGTGGTAGTAAGTAATAATATATACCATTATTATTTCCTTATGAAGATAAAAAATCATGATGCCAACTTTAAATTTGTAAAACAATATTCCACCAACAAAGGTATGTACAGTACTATAATAGCGAGGGGAGATATCTATGTATCCCAAAGGGGTGCCAGTCGAGTCTGGACTAGATTGTCAACAGATCCAGTGATTGACAGCATGGGCTTCGATCCACGCAATTGGGTACGATTATATAATTCACCAAGTCAGCGAGCCTGGCCACCTGATCCGGTTAGTCGCCTCTAAAGGTTGCTGAAGACCTCCTCTCACCCGGATCTTCACGGGTACATATTCATAAGCACCACGTATAAGATGGGTGGCTCGATCACGTTGACCCCCCTGGGATGACCTACAAGGTCAAATCATGAAACATCCATTAATCAGTGACCGTTGGATTTGAACAACGACCAACTGCCTCCAACTGTGTTCCGGGGGCATGGGCGGACCAATCATCTGAGGTACCGCAGAGCCACAAGCCTGAAGTGATGCAGGTCTCAGACTTTTACCACTTTGGTGAAACCCACGAACATGGGTATGGTGCTGACAACTAAGAAACGTAATCGGAGCAAAACGGTATTCCAACCCACGGTCATAGGTTTCTGGCGAGCCCAAGGGACGTAACTCTACGTTGCGAATTGCGGAGCCTTAGACGACTAGGCCAGTCGTGCTTCTCTTGAATATGAGCTTAAATGCTTGACATTATTAGCTGCAAATCAGTTCCAAGGGTCGGTTCTTCCAACACAGTTGTGTGGTTTATGGCCGTATTGGGGGATTCCATTTTACATGGTATCCAAAATGCAGTTCTTGCGGTATTTATTGTGAACGTGTATTCCTCTTCTCGATTGTCTGCTTAAAATACTTTCTCATGTTGGAATAACAGTTAGTACCCGTGAAGATCAGGGTTAGAATTGGCCTTCAGCAACCCTCTCTTGTCGTAAGAGGCGCTTTTCGGGATCGAGTGGTCATGCTATCTTACTTGGTTGAAGCATGTCGTCGTATCCCAATTGCGTAGATTGATGCTCATGATGCCAATCACTGGATTGTCTGGATCAGATGTACTTACTTACAGACCGACATCAGAAAGCTTGAATATTGCTGAGTACGTCGTTAAATGACACACAAAGAAACAAACAAATAACTGTTAGCAATAGTGATATATTCCCTCTCCGGTTTTACTCCACCAAAGTATGGCTAATTATGACTTACATTATCAGTGTGTAAACCATTATTCTGACGTCATACTAGTGTTGTTGTAGTGGCGTCTGAGTCAGGATGTTAGTAGCCATTCTGATTGTGCATTTTAAACAAGTAAAACTGATGCAACTGTTGGTCATTATGCAAAATTATAAAAACCAGTATATATCAACCATGACATGGTTTAAGTCGGGGAAATCACACGAATCTCTTGATTCCGGGAGTATAATCAACGAGCACTTCGAGTTCCATTTCTTTGATTCTACAGTAAACTACGGTTATAACGAACACGCTTATAAAGAACTGACGGATATAACGAACTTACTTTTTGGTCCCGACTACTTGCTGTAGTCATGCTGTATATGTACTTATAACGAACTACGGTTATAACGAACTGAAATTAGTAGTCCCTTTGAGTTCGTTATAACCGTAGTTTACTGTATTTCATTTATCCTACTTACGGAGTCAGCCATGTCTTTTCAGCAATCTGCTCGTATGTGAATATGGAAAAGGGTTACCATTAAGAATAGATTCTACTACTCAATGCTTGCCGCATGGAGCCGAAAAATAGGATTGGATGGTCAGACTCGAAGCCTCACCTTCCCGATACAAGGGAACTATGACCATAAAGGCCAGTTTTCACCTAGGCTGGAATTATATAGTTATATTTTGGCTGGTCTAACGAGTCTATGCATAATCCAATCAAAGTCGCGTAACGAAATCGAAATCCGGTTCGTAAACTGCCGTGCAGATTTCCGTCAACTTAGCATTAACAGATATTTCCAAATCTTTTCATATTTTTAATCGAGGTGCTCGCATGATTTGATCCTCTTCGTGAAGTAAGACCCGTTTTATTACAATAAAGATCTTGATTACTGATCAGATCGTCTTCACGCCGCCATTTTGCTTGAAGCAAATGCAAATGGTATGAGAGGTGAAATCTGATTGGTCGATAGGAGGGATGTAGAAGGGAAATAACTCGTAATAGCCACTGTCGGCCCTACGATCGAGCCCAAAAAGTTCACCATAGTTCGGCAAGGGTGACTTTTACAGACAGCTACCTCCCTTGCCTCGGGCGTTCACCATCGGTACAGATTAGTCGTATGTCCCCATCCAGTGACACGTCACGATGGTGAACGGGTGGGGTGCTTGGTAGGGGGTGAGAGAGGATGGAGATCGAAACCATTCAATAATAGACATTACTGTGTCCTCGTCGTACACTGGTGCTTCTAAATACAATAAATACTCGTTGTTTAAATTTTTCAATGGAAGCACATTAAAATCACTGCGTTCAGTGGTAAGAGTGCCTGCGTCTGTGAATCTTCATTGCTCGGAGAGGAAGTACCATTTCTGTCGCATTGTAAATTAAAACGGATGAAGCTGTGGTAAAATCCTCATATAATTGCTGACATACACTCGACACAGCAAAACGGTTGGGGTCGGGCGGGGGTGGATTTAAGGGGACAAACGTAACCGTGCTGTTACAGAGCTCATGATGTCGATCACTTCATTGTCTGGACCAGACTCTTTTATTTACAGACCGCCTTGATATAGCTGGAATAATGCTGAGTGCGGCGTTAAACAACGCATCGATGTACACAATTGGGCTAAATGTGAACAAAACAGGAATGGTTATTCGGTGGTGATGTATTTGATCTTAATTTTCTTAGGTGAGGTGAGGTGAGGTGAAATGGGATTTAACGTCGCGTCCAAGATTATTGCACTTATATAGTGACGTGCATGCACGTGTGTGTGTGTGTGTGTGTGTGTGTGTGTGTGTGTGTGTGTGTGGCTGTTTGTACTAGTCCGGACTGATGCCGATTTATAGTGCTAGCACACTGAGATACCATGCCGCAGTTTAACATGGATACCCCACTCAGACACAGTTTAATGACTCCGAGCCGACCTGTCCTTGTGTTAGCCCCTTAATGCCGAGCGCCAGACAGGGTAACAACAAGTACCATCTTTTAACGTCTTTTGATATGACGCGGGCGGGGATCGAACCCCGGACCTTCCGCTCTCCGGGCGGACGCTCTACCAGTAGACTAATTTTCTTAGGACTTGGACCTTAAGGTGTTAAGTGTTAAGTGTTTTAAGCTGTGCAAAGGTTTGAAAAAGTTTGTAATTTGTTTGGTCAAGTCCGATTTTCAAGTGAAGTCTTATTTTATATGTGGAAAGGGAAACTGGAGGGGAGATCCTTCATTATGAAGCAGTATGCTGTTATGGCACCGTTGTGCACTCAGGAAGTATATGGTTTTCCTGTGCAACAGACTCACGTCTTGCGTTGAGACCAAGAGTGCACGTGGTTCTTTTTTGTTCTTTGCGCTCTGCTTGAATACTTTGAGGTTATTACACACCGTATCAGACCGAGACCCCACATCGCTCGGGGGGTGCCCCTGACACACCTGAAGATGGTAGGTAGCAACTACCATTTTCTTGCTGGACAGGTAAAATTTTGATTTCACCCGAACACATGCAGCATTATTTAGACAGGTATTTAGCTCTTTTAATTAATATTTTCAACGAAATTGAGTTTTGTCTTACACCGAAGGGCATCCAGACAAAATCGTTATATATGGAATACTTAACGTGCTCCCGTGTGATACCAATTTTATGAAACTAGTGAATAGTTCTGATATTTGACGAGCGAACTATTCACCAGTTGCATAGAAATAATATTACACGGGAGCGAGTTTAGTATTTTATTTATTAGTTGCCATTCTTAACGGTTTTTTTCATAATTTCACTGTCGTGTATAAATAGGCAGACACTTACACGATCCACAACGTAATCCAATTGAGTTAAACAGAATAATACTTCAAACACGTCAAACGTTGACACATATTAATTTAATACCATACAAAAGTCCACCTTTAGAATTCAGGCGTCCGTACCACGAAGTTATCGTTTCTCACATACTTTAACATAACATTTTCCTAACCATCTTAAACATATCT